CAGAATATCTAAATAGTTTGATTTGAGATATTTTATATTTTCAAAAATTTTTTGTTTTTGTTTCAGATCATTCAATAAGAAATCTACTTACATTTTGCTTTTATAACGTAGGAAACAGAACAATTTTTAAAAGCATATTTATCATTATTAGGAAGTTAAAAGTTACGAAAATGGAAGGAAAAAATTTCAATGGTCAGATAAAGGTAGCAATCTTCTCAATGTTGTTTGCTTCCATAAAGTTATAAAAATGGAAAATGAGAACATTAATCTTGTCGCATAAAAAAGACTAATATTAAAGGTGAACATAAAAATAAGTAATGTATTCAGAAGGAACTGAAAATATGAGGTATTTTAGCGCTCTCGTTTATTATACTATTTTAATATTAATACAAAATAATTGAATTAACGATATTAGTACTAATTTACTACTTTAATGAAATTTTATAGGAGATATTTTGGAATTAAATTTCCGAAAAAAGAAAAATATGGAAGTATGAAAGAAGACAAATAAATGTGTCGACTGTTCTGAGGCACAATTCAAATACTAAATGAGACTCTACACATGACCACGCATCCACGAGAGAATATTTCCCTCTTTTACAATGGATATTTAAATTTTCAAAAAAAGGTTATCTCCATTTGAAATTCTTTTAATGGTATAAAAGTATCCTTAACACCGCAACACTTTATCTGTATCATAAATCCTACACAGCTTTATTATGGCTTGGAATACGTTACTCAAACTTGTCGTAAACAGTTATTTTATTCTGTCTCCTGCGATAAAGAGTACATGAAGAATTTCATACGATTACCATGCATCTGACTCTAGCAAAAAATTCTAGAAACGTGCTTTATGTGCACATATGTCTGACATCAGTACAATATTATAAACCAGCAGATGAGTACATTAAACAGAAGGAACTTATATTAATTTTCACGTCGACGAAATACTCATGAAAGTGGATTTCAACGAATGCGTTGCGTTCTCACAAGAACTACGGTCAGCAGATTCGTACGAATTTGATGACAGCTCGTTGACCTGGGGTGCAACATTAGCAAAAGCGGTTAATCCAGTTTACGAGAAGGCAGATCGAGATAATTTTGTTAAGGTGAGCTGTCAATGGCACTATTGTCGACACGGAACAATCGACGATATTCTATGCTGGATCTCGAGAACCGTTTCCCGCATGTACGGCCGAATGGAAAATCGATGGTGCACTGTTCGAAACTTTCGACGGATTCTCGATTGTCGACGATCGCCAGGAATGAAATCCGAAAGAAATTGGATTAACGATGACCGAGGGGTGCACGATGGTGGAAACGCTGCAAGTTAGGACGTATATAGGAATTAGGCATGCGACATCGAAAGCGTTGAGAACTTTGAATCAAGTTCAATGAAAGAGGGCTGGTAATTCGTGAGGAAACTGAGATTGGTTTGGCACCCGTTTCGAAAGCCATATCGCTCCCTTTCAACGAGTAGCAGAAGTACCTCGAAGAAAACTCGAGTTTCTCGACGTCTTTACCGTGCGTCCAAAGAATCCTCCAACTTCCGGATGACGTAGTGCATCCGATGGAAAATAAGAATTAAATATCCAATTACAACTCGAATTGTACGGATTGCAAAATGTTTAGCGAACTTTTTCTTTCTAATACATTCGTCTTACGTTTTACCTTGTTCTACGAACGATTTCGTAATAAGAGTAACTGGAATTAAACGATTTTCTCGCTACACACAGCTAAATTTCACTTATTAAATTTATGAATCGATGGGAAACAGTAATTGTTTTCTATCTTTATTGTTGTCATAGATTTAGCAAAGTTTTAACACGATAACTTGCTTGTTATAGCGTATTAACAGTTTCGTGAGATCCGTACACGTATTCTTCCGGTGGTAATTTTCCCAAGTGACGGGACGAGGGATATGAACGAAGGAAGAATATGCGATCCTTGTAAATCCTTAATGCTTTCCTCCCAACTTTAGTTTTATGACCAACAGAAGAGATATAAGGTAACCGTTGCTGTTCTGATAAATAAGGAATTTCTTCAGCTGACCATTTGCTACTTGAATGAAACAATTTTAGTGTATGGAAAATATATCTGATTTAACTTTGTAAGTATATAATGCTTCATCAAAAGATATAAAAGTTTCTATCAAACTCAATTGATCTCTCCAAATAGTTTTTCATGAAAGAAATGTTGCAATAGATATTAAGATTTGTCCATAACAAAACATTAAAATTTGATGATAAATTCCATTTAACATAACAATTGAAAAAATTTTAAGGATTATTCATATTAAATATCTAAAAACTTTTTTAAAGAAGTTAAGGAAACTTCATAGAGTTATTAACAAAATTGGGTTATTTAACAATGTTTTATACTATATTCTATATATTAAAGTAAAATATATATGAACATATATGGACATATAAAAATATAAGAACTTTATTTTTTCAGGAAGCTCTTTTAAAAAGCAGTTTTCTAGTTGGACAGCCACTCGGAGGAAAAAATTGGTGTTTTTATTTGGTCGTACAGTTTCATCCATACGTTATAGATTTGCGAAGTGACATTTAAATACAAGCAACGATGAATGAAAATTGTTGGGCATAAAATAACAAATGTGTGATACGTGTCAAGCAGCGCACGAAGTCAGACGCACGAAGGCGGTACATATAGTTTTGCGGTGCAATATAGAGGAATCCAATATTCTCAATACCCATAGGAGTCATAGCTACACAGGTCTCTAGTCCCATTGGGTCCAAATCCAATCGAAGAAAGAAAGAAGAAATCGCAGCTATTTACGATAAACGCGGTTTGTACAATCCTTCTGTTTACTTTGTTGAGTCATCTTTTCTTCGAATACCTATTATTACTATCAAACTAATACTACAACCGATGTTTTTGTATTCCAGCAAGATTTCTGAATCTATCGCATATGGGAAGAAAGAAGAAAATTTCAAGACCGAGTGAAAAATTTATGCGTGACTGATATTTATATACATTGCCATAATCACGAACATTTTTTATATTGTTATAATCAACGCATATTCTAGTTCTCGCTCGTTCTTTAATCAGGAGACATTAATTGCAATCTATGCATGTTTACTAATAACTTATAAGATTATATATCTCGTTGTTAAAGAAATTGTTTCGTTTAACGAATTTTTCGAGGTTTTCAATTTTCACGGTTCTTGCAAAAAGAGTTTGTACTCCTAATTGCTTAGGAATGTAACAATGTGTGGGAACTAAATGTAGGACGAGTAGGATGTTGCAAAATTTCATATTTCAATGTAATTAACTTCTACATAATTCTTAATACACAAGTCAGTATTACAGACACGTTATTATTCATATTAGAAAAATTCTGTGGGAACCTACAAATTTATGTAAAAATATACATATTAATTGTGCCACGTTATTCTGTGAACATCAGTCTTTCTCATAATTTAAGAATGATTAAAAATAATCAACAATTATCATCATAATTAGGCATAATAATCAATCCTGATCCACGTCAATTTGTCATTTATTTCCCATCAATTTATTTTAAAGAAAATTGGAATGTTTTGAAACAATTTATTAACGTTGTTTCTCATAATATATTAATTGTTTAATAACCTGCAACATTGCATTGAGCAATCATATTTTAAAAGCTACCATGTAAGAATTATGTATTAAACGAATAGCAACAAGAAGAGAAAAGTAAAATATATCATAGTCTTTTAATCAATTCTTTATTAGAATTACTAATAACCAATTATACTTTGTTCTTTCAATGCACTACTGAAAAACTGACAAATCTATTCTGAAGTATCTAAAATACTCTCTATATATTAACCATTGTAACGATACGAACAACCATAATCACTAAAATTATAGTTTCTAAACTGCTAAAGTGGAATTAGATTTCCTTTAATTGCATACAAATGCACTTCATACGCAAACAATGAAATTGAACTCGCTATTCTTTAAATCACGTATGATGTATTTCTTTCCCAAAAATTAGAGATCACTTGAAAAGTTAGACTAATTAGCGTGACAATCCCAAGTAGGTTTTGCTCCATTATCCACGTTGCAGCAAGAGTCGTTTATTCAAAACACGCAACACGATATCACGCGAAGGCTCAGCGCGGTTGATCGTTAACCTCTGACGTTAATTAACAGGTACGCGAACGTGAAACATTCTGTAGTAAGATCCCAAAACAGGTAATCGAACTATTTCGGTGTGTATGATTTGTCTTTTTTCGAGAATCCGTGTGTTGTAAATTGTGACGAAATGTAAATTGAGGTGTATGAGTCACGTTTGAGTGCAGCCCACGAGCAACGGTAAAATCTCAAAGGTCAAAAATAATGCAATTTCTACGAATGAGTCCTAAAAAGAGAAGAAATGAATGAAAAGAAAAGGATCATGTGTTTTCGATTACGTTGTATTTACCGTATATCGGCATCGATCTACTCGGCTGAAACCGCGTAACTTATTGCTATTCTTCACAATGTCGTTATCATTACAAAGGATTAAGTACCGGTATCTCATGAACATTTCTCTCATAGTCACTCAAACTATAACTCTCCGATCTGTTTAATTCTCTAATCCGTCTTATCTTCCTTCCCTCTCATGCATCTGTCACTTTATTGCCACAGTTATCTGAACTGCCGATTAATCATCACGAAATTCCTATCTTAACGGAACATGTAAAACCCATGAAAAATAACTTGGAAATTTGCCGCATTTTTCCTAATCTCTTCGTGCTAATCTGAAAACACCAATTTCACTGTAATCTTTCACCCTGACGGATGCGCGTCTTATCCTAGGCAACTACTTAACAAACGAGAAGGGATGAGATAAGAATATCGAAGGAACGAAAATTGATACTCCGAACATGATACAAATCTTCGTTTGTATTTCACAGTACAAATTTACGTCTCTTCCTGGCACCTAATCCCGCCAAAACGAGTGTTGGTAGAAGCACGATAGAAGGGAAGAGAGTGTAAACACTTACCTTGGAAATTATAAAGTAGTCGCCGAATTACTTCCGTCGAGATCCTCGTTGGAGATAAAAATCTTCCCTTGGAACGGCGGTGGAAGAAAATAAGTCGTGGGAAAGAGACGAAGAAGCGGACGTTTCAGAAGTGTAGTTACGTAGAAGTTTTCGGGTTATCGAAGCTTAATCCTGGCTTGATCCTGACAACTTCCGGTCCTTCGGAGACAGCCGGTGACGTCCGGTATGTTGCTCGATTAAGGTGTATTTAGTTGAAGATAACCGAACTGTTTTTTCCAGGGATAACAGGTGGTACGTCGGAGTTCCTCACCGTGCAGAGTACTAACGACGTGTGACGTCGACGGCTCGGTGCGAGAGGGCTTTTATAGCCGGCCGTGCCGACTCGACTCGACTCCGCTCGACACAGCTTGCCATAGAGAGGAGCTGCTGGCCCTACACACCGATTTCTCCCTTCGGCCGTTTCGTCACTCTCTCGCCCTATGACCCTTGGTCCTCTTCGATCAGGATTAAGCACGGGATCTCCAGATTAAGAAGCGTTCAATGATAATTCCGTTGTCTCGTGTCTTTCCCTTTCTCCAAGAATAGTTCGTCCACTGAAAATGTTACACATAGTTTATATCTTTGTATTCGTTTAATTTTGTGTTAGAAAATATTTTTCATTTTGATATTATTGATTATTCATTATAATGGAGGTTCACCCTATTTTTTGTTTTTTTTTTGTGTATAAATGTCTTCATTCGTAGTCGATGTCAGTGGCTCATTATTGCTTTGCTTTATTGGAAAGTCAGTGAGAAATTTGCACCGTTTGTTTAGTGCATTTTACACGATCATTCAGGATTGCGGTTTATTTTCATGCTATGCTGGTCTTGGAATATTTTATCAGGCAAAAAATTTTAATTAATTTATTTTGGTGAATTAGTGAGATTATTAATTTGTTACTGTACCGTATCCTTTTATGTCATGTTTTCAATCTAATACTTGTTTTCATTTTATAAATATTACATTGTTCCACTATAAAATGTAATGCATTTTTATTCCTTGAATTCTTTGCCATCTTTTCTTCCATAAAAAAGGTATAAAAGAAGGATATGTCCAATATTCACATACAACTAAAAAAAAAGGATAGTTCAAAGATATATGCAATAAAAAGAATATATCCAGAAAGTAATTGCGTAATTCAAAAACATAATAAAAAGATATGACCAATATTGACCCAATATGCAAAAAATAATACAAAAATATATGTATTATTTAATAATAACTAAGGAGAATATAATCCAAAAATTATATTGTCTTCCATCTAATTTCAAATTTCACTTTTATTGGTTGAAGTTTCAATGTGATATTAATATTTTTACATTAAATATTGTATAAAAGGATTAACCATAGATCTAAAAAAAAAAGAATTAACAAAAGATTTAAATGGAAATTTAGTTAAAAAAAAAAAAAAATATTTATACGAAAGTTTCCATTTCCACGATTTCCGATTCCAAATTATTTTCTGCCTGATCGAGGTGGCCCCATTCAACGACATGATAGATCCCACTTATTATAATAGTAAGCGTACGTCTAATTTTAATTTCCCATAATTTCTGAATCACGATGTGCATGATGAATCTGTAATTTAACTATTTGCATGCTGTACACATTAACCGGTAGTGGTTATTATGAAAATGCAACATCTGCTCTGGCATCAAACTTTCAGTAATGAAGCTAATCGAGACGAGGACTAGCGCCTATTATAGAATAGCCGATGGTATATTAATTATATGCGAAAAGAGATTCATTTTAAATTACATCTCGGAAAATTCCCAGTTTAAATCAACTAACTGGGTGTCGTTAAAAGGCATCAAAACATTATCGACCTTTTTACAAAGTTTTACGAATTTTCACAAGATCTTTCCGAGGTCGTAATATATTTTCACAAATACGATAATAACCACAACACAACACGTAAAATGAAATGTTAAACACGGTAAATACTCATTTTATAATGATATAAATAATCATTTTACCAATTTTCGAACCAATTTTCGGACCGTTTTCGAAAATAAAGGTTTTTGACGTTGCGAAGGTTATGAACGAAATTTATGGTGCTCGAATTTACCCATAATCCATGAAATTCACGACACATTACGGAATTGTACGTAAACCATTAGTCACTAACCGCGCGTATTACCGAGCATTCTAACCTCTCTCCTTAGATAGGTCGTAAGTAAGTAGATACACAGTATCAACATAAATCCATGTTCTCAGTAGTACCAACTGTATTCATTAGTCTACGTATATATGCATATTAGTATAATTTTATTGAAATTATATCTTACCATTGTAGACGGTCAAACGACGTACCATTTGACGATAATTCACGCTCAAGTACATAATTAATGCGGATAAAATCTCGTATAATTTTAATATGAATTCATTTCGTTATACGAATTTATGCAATGAATATTCATACGTATATATGCGTATATATATATACGTATATATTATATACGTAATGCTAGGCAAGTTCTTTGAATGATTTATTTATTTATCAACGTTATTTTCTCTTACTTTTTTTTTTTAATTTCCCGCGTAATTAAACATAGATGTGTCCTATCTTTTCTTATACTCGTACAACTTTCGTTATTTCGGTCAGACTTTTTAACATCGCTTCGTCTGACGTTCCTCTTTAATCGCAAGTTTATAAGAGAGAATTTGTACGTTGTAAATTGAGTACTTGAACGGATCTAAATAAAGATCTAAAGTGAAACTAAATAAATATCACGCGTTTACACTGACGGCAGCTACACCCCCGTTCATAAATAGTAGGTTGCTGCAGATGAAATACTACAAACGACTTAATAAGACTTTCAATTATAGTTTTATTCGAAACTATAAATTTACAAATTTTGTATAGGAATTTCTAATTTAAAATGTATAGCTTTATTGGTTAAAGTTATGGTATTAGCTTTCGAAATTAACTTATAATATTAATTTTTTAATCTTATGTATAAAAAAACAGTATTTATCAATGAACACATAATCCGCCAGATTTAACACTCTTTAGCCATCATAAAACGAGATAATTTATATCTTTATTAAAAATCTTTATCTTTTCAGACACGAGGAAATCTTTAAAAATATTTCATGCTATAGTTTAAGCACTTTTTTACTTATTTATACAGTCTAATTTTTTTTTTAATTATACATTAATTATTTTGTCCAATTATTATTGCTATTATAATCAATTATTTTATTTTGTCGGTCAGTTGGTTTATTTTTGACATCAACATTTCTAAATGTAAATCACACTGACTGCAGGTTGTATATTCATTTATTTAAATTTCTTCAACAATTGTATTAATGTTATAAGCAATTTCTACTGCGTTTTACCAAAACTTACACTCGCATAAGAAAAACACTTGAATTTAATTTCAATCGATGTGGTACTTTACAGTACAATTGCTTGTTATATTACAATATCAGTCTACTGTCTCATAATCATTGTCATATATATATTTCACAGCAAATTTAATCATAGAAGATTTAATGCATGTATAATGTTGAATATTTTATATGCAACGATATAATTAAGAACAATAATTAAGACACTTATACATGAAGAAATCTGACAAATTATTTGAAAATTACTATAGTCTCTAAGAATTATTTTATTTAAAAAATTACACATAATTTTTTTACATATTATTTGCTTTCAATTTTTTTATATTATATTTACATATAAAGTAAAATATAACAAATATAATATATACAATTATTTAAAATTATAATAGTTTATAATAATAATTTATTATAATAGTTTATAAAGTTGACCATTTTATATGCAACGACATAATTAGAACAATAATCGGGACACTTATTCACGAAGAAATCTGACAAATTATTTGAAAGTTACTATAGCCTTTAAGAATTATTATTTTATTTAAAAAATTACATATAATATTTTTGCATTTTATTTTCTTTTAATTTCTTTTATATTATATTTGCATATAATATAAAATATAACAAATATATTATATATACAATTATTTAAGATCATAATAGTTTATAATAATTATAATAGTTTTTAAAATTCAATATTATTATTTAATTAATATTGTTCAATTTTCTATTGTATTTATTTATTTATTTATTATTGCTTTATTGCTTATTTATTATTTATTAAATAAAATTAAATATTTATTACTTATTTATTGCTTTCATCTACGTCATAGATTACTATTCAAATTAGATTCAGCCAAAGAAAAACTTTTAACCAAATTTCTCAATGTTTTCATATATTGCATTAAAAATTATTCATTTTCATTGCAAAGATTTAAATTAAAGTATTGCAATACATTATTATCGATTCATTAATATTCTCTAACTTTTATAAATAATTTTCACAAATTTTTCCTGCGTGTTAAACCTAAATTACAGATTTAATCATTACATTTTACGAATGTCTCAATAGCAACAAATAAAGGTGCGCAAAGTACTTTTACCCTTAATAAGTACCAGACATATAGAAACAATAAACGCAGTAATAAATCCCTCTTAACGATATTAATTACATTTCTCCAATACTTTTCTCATTATGTACTCATCTTACTTTATGGTTGATGCTAAACCGGGAAAATAAAATCGCAAAATATATGTATACAACGAATAACGATGATGAATGACGAATAATAACGATATAATATTTCTTTTATACAATCAATCTACCGTTACTACGTTCCAAAAATAGGTTATGACAATTAAATCATCTAGTTACATAATTAGTCCTATAAAGGTACATTCAGAAATCCTCCATTTTGACAAAGAAATATAAATTTCCAGTAGTAAAACCAAAAAGTTTATCATTAACGATAGAAGTGACCAATCCGAAGCTTCAAATTTATATAAATATAAATAAACTAAAGGTATAACAAATACATTGAAAAATGAAATATAAAATGTAAACAAAAATATACGTAAAAATAAATCTTAAAAATATACGCCAATGTATGAAATGCAAATTTGATGTTTTGAAAGGAATATTTGTACTAATAAACCAATAAAATACACACGTTCGAAAGCGAAACGAATTTTTCACAAAAATAAAAATTTAGAGAGAAATGAAGCAGCATTAATATAAATTTTGAAGATCTATTTTAAAATTTTCGATAAGACATTCACGAAGAAAAAATGTTGACATGTTCGAGTATATCTCAAAGTAATTTCAAAATTCCCAGCAGGTTTTGGGCCCAACCCACTCGCAGAGACTAGGCCCGATCCATTCTCAGAGACTAGGCCCAATTAACAAAGTGTCATCGAGTTGAA